AAATTCGAGTATATTTTTCGATCTTCCCAATTAGAACCTACTCCTTGTTATCGTATACTTTTGCAATAATCGATTTTGCAGTAATGCATAAGCAAATAACATTTTAGGTTATATATAGATGATGGGATCTAATAGGATTCCGTGGTTTGCGTAGATTCCGCTAAAAGCCTCCAAACCAGTGGGCTATTATTGCATTATCTGACGCATTATTATGCAACCCATAGCAAGTAGGGGATAGAACCGGGTAGATTTTGTTTATCGCTTTATGTACTGCTGACATTATATGTATGCCACGTTCAGAAATTTATAATCAAAGAAATAAATATTATTATCTTTCTATGTGATTGTTATGGAAATATTATCTTCATGCTTTCACAATCTTTCGGAAAATCGAAAGCTCGTTTGCACTCGTTTGCTCATCATTTGCTCACGATTGCTCCGTCCGAATATTCGTCTGCTCACCCTTAGTTCAAAAGTTATACGAAATTTAAATTTTGGGGGGTCAACGTCACGCTAGCTCCCCAATATTAAAAGATCGAATATTTTTTTCTGCATTCATTTGCTCATCGTTTTCTCACGAATGCTCACATTCGAACGGAATGAGCGCAAAAATTTTTTTTTGCGGATATAGGTAGCGCATAAATAGCGCAGTATTCCATAATTTTTTCATTTAGACTTGGTTAATCTTAATGAAAAAATTATGGAATAATGCGCTATTTATGCGCTACCCATATCCTTTCTAACATAAAAAAAAATTTTTGCGTTCATTCCGTTTAGCTAAAAAAAAATTTTTTTGTGGGAGACTATAAAAAATATTTATTAAATTAAATGGAAAATATTATTATTATTCCTTTGATTTTGCTTTTACATTTTTAGTAAGTCCATATCTTGATATATAGAATCTAATACGTACTATTTTCAAGAAATAAGATATGTTATAACACAGTGATTATTTTTGGTTTATCACAAGAGCTTAATTCGCAATGATTTTCTGGAACGTTCTTTAACCGGACACTCGGCTTAATACTGCAATAGTACGTCGAAATAGTGGCCACATTAAGGACGAGATTGCGTTAGAAATTTTGTCTCAGCAATTGTTAAGGGTCAGAAGAGCGAGAGGTTGGTGCAGAGATGATAGGCGAGCAAGGATAAAATCCTTAATTGAAACTGACATGGCGACGGCCGGTGTCAGATTGCAATTTCGTGCGATGGGACTAGTTAAACTCACGAACACGACATAATTACCGAAGTTGCCAGCAGCTCGTGGAACATCGTTGTTACCGGTGCAAGACAATGCCCGGATGCTACCTCTTACAACTTCCGGGTCATTCGTCTGCCCCCTCTTTATCCCTATCTTCCCCATCCGTCGGTCTGTCAGCTCTTGCCACCGCGAGTAGATCGTAATGCAGCAGTCTGGATTAATTTTGATGAAATTTGAATGAAGAAGCAGAAGTGACCAACTCTGTGAAAGTTGACTTTGCGAAAGCTGTTCAGGGATCATCGCTTATAATTAATTCCACGGAAAATTTACGAATTTCAATTAACATTATCGTGTTAGCTGCGGATAATAAGTTGTTCGAAAATCCGAATTATTAATTTTACGTTCTTTGTTTCTTAGGTGAATCCCATTATAGGTTTCGCTAATTTTATGCGTAATTGACCAATGTAAGTAACATCAATGCGCAATATGAGTATCACTAAAATTGCAATATTACTATAATATTGCAATATTCCTATAACAGAGAATTTTTTCAGAGAACGTTCTTCACATTTGTCAAAACTGTAAAATGTTATTTTTGACATAAGTATACGACAAGAAGTCGGTAAATCTCTCTATTGTCAAGCATAGCTTTGATTTATTCAAATGTGTTCGAAGGTATTTTGCATTGGCCTATAATTTGTTTCTACGTTTGGCTAACCCTTGTCGATTATCAACCGCGTTTTATTTCCGACGCGGCCTCCAAGATTCAAAGGAATGGTCATTTTTAGCGGAATTTAGGACGCGAGTCCACATTTGGCGGCACAAAAAACAAAAGCCTCGAAAAGGTCACGCACTTTCGTCGTGGCAATCAGGTTAATGGAGTATCACCTGGCCTGTTTTATCTTCCATATCGAGATCGTTTTAACAGTCGTTCCAAGCATTCTCAATATAACGGAGAACGTTATGCACTGAAACTCTTTTGATGGTGTAGCCCATTACACTAATTGATCTGCTTATGGAATAAAATATAATTACACCTTTAAGTAAATTGCTAATGCGCGCCATTTTATTTTTACGAATCTAGAAAAATATAATTCTTAATGATATAACACATTTCAAGAGATGGAAAAAAGAGAGGCAGAGAAGGGAGAGAACTAAAATTATTCTCAGTCAAATCTAGAGGAATCATGAGGAGTGAAGAAAATGCTGCGTTAAACCAAAATCTCTTGAGCTTCCCATCGACCCCATAAATAACATTTATCCCTCAATTAGGGGGCTCTTCCATTCTAATTCGTGAGCTTTATTATACAAGCGCATTATTACTTGAGCATGTGCATTGCGGAAGCTATCCCATTTTACCCCGTTCTTCCTTCCCTATCCGGCGCTTCGCTTTCTCTATAATCCTCGGGTTACACTCGCAAGCTCTCAACACATGCTTTCGCCTGTTCTTAAGCTCGCCGTAATCAATATTTCTTTTTTTTTATTATACGCTCGATTTACATCAAAATTTGCGGCTAATCAGCGGGAGGGAACCTCCTTCGCTTTGAAATTTGATACATCGTATACTTTTCGGAAAAAAAAAGAAAAGAATTAGAATTTTCATACTTCATACATTACTACATCTTTTTAACAATACGACTTTTATTAGAGGTAAAATATTTCTAACCGTCGCGAGACAAGTATTTTGCTTTGTAAATGTATGAAATTGTATGTTATGTATAATATATACTTATACTATATTATATATTTATATAATTAAACTTCTTATCAAAAATTTTTTATTAAGAATTACTAATTGTAAAACACTCCTGTATTCTGGAGCTTATTGCATTCAATCACATTTGTAACCTTATCTTCTTTAATCAGAACAGTATCCTCCTATTATTAGAAAAATTAAACTTTTTGAGAGTTCTGTATAGATTTTCGATAGTTCTAGATTTTCGATAATTCCAGAGTTTCTGACAGTTTAAAAAAATAGTTCTAGTTATTAAAAACATAAAAATGCGATTCAAAGCTATGGGGGAGTTAACTTATTAAAATTTCGACGTAGGACTTAAAAAATTTTCAATGACCAAAAATTTTTTTGAGAAAAATTTTTCCAACAGTTTCGATGGGAGTTCTGGATAGTTCACGACGAGTTCTATTGAAAAGTATTAGGTCACAAAGCGATTGGACCAACGCAACGGTTTGCAAGATACGCAACATTTAATAGATAACTGAAATTTTCTAAGTCTGACATCGAAAATTGTTTTTAGAGTTCCAGTAGTTCTGATTGAAGTTTTCGACGAATTCTATTGAAAACTATTAGGGCTCAACGCAGATTAGATGGCTACATTAGGAGATACATGTTGACGATGGCGACACAGAATCAGACGGCGGTCTGGCGAAACCGGTAGCCACACTCTTAAAGTGATGCTAAAGCCTCCTGTTTTATCCACATTTCCATTCGGTGAAAAATCTCCGTATTGGATGTACGGATTGCAAAAGTATTATTACATAAATTGAAGTACGCACAAACAGGACCTCAGCTGCACTGGATTTCACGAGAAAATCGAAAAAAAGTTTAAAATTCGTTAAAAATTCACTTACTTTTGACTCGTACAGCTGTCACCTCAGATATATATTTGCTTGATATAAGAGTTTTAGAGTTAGTAAGAGAGTAAGATCTTGCTACTCGAGTTTATGAAAGAGGGGTATACTATACCAATAACGTACACGAAAAATCGTAAACAATTAAATATCTCGTAAACTGTTGCGTTTTAACATAATTTGTACTATTCTGGATTAATGGGAGGGATACACTATATATATATTACTACACAATTTATTAAAACTTATATATTATTTAGAATGCCCCCCGCCTCTTATTGATGCCTAGGTTCGCCGAGCGGCCGAGATTGCCGAGAAAGCATTACTTGAAACGGTGAGAAGGAGCTCGCTGTCTCGTTCACTCTCGGCGCGCTGCAGGCGAGCACACATACTCGTGCTTGCATGTGTGTTACAGCGCCGCACCACGATAAATGGCCGAACTTATAGGCGTGGAAAAGTGACGTTTTGACGACGAAATTTATGTTGCATACCATTTCGTTATTATTTGCTTAATTGTGAAAATATGACTTGTCTCGTACTTATCAAAGTCGTAATTTTCGATGACAACTAAAGTTATGTTGGAATTTTATATGTAAAAGCGTATATTTTACTCGTTTCAACAGCTGTCGGACCGTGTTTCTACCCGAATATAGACTCACTTTACGTGCCTTTTACGATCATTTACTGACTGTCAAGGGATGAAGGACAGTTTTCATCGATTTTTACAAGTGTTTTAAAACGATCTCGTCATTTCGTTTCATCCAAATTGTCTTTATTTAAAAATGGCATGCAACATAAATTAATGTGCCATTCCTCGCTTCTGACATCACGATTCCAACATGGCCGCCGCGACTAGTCAGGAGCCTTAAGAACTTTTGTTATAAACTATATAGGACTCTTTGTCTCGTCAAAAGGAAACGGGAACTCTAATCAGAACTATGGAATTTTAATGTTGGAGTGCTAACTTCACAGACGCCACTTTTTATGAATAACTTGTGAGCCGAATAAGGTCCAACACTAAATAAGACCCACTTTTAAATTTATTACTTTAAAACGCACTTTACGCTTGCAGTATATGCTTAAAAGATGTGTCGTAGGAAGTAGATAAAAAGGAATTAAAGAATTGGGATCGGTATATAGCAACACGTTTGTTTAACATAACAAAAACTTGTTGAACTCTCAAATTCATAATGTTCATGCAAGTACTCACCATGAAGAAGTCTGCGTAGGTATCGCCGGTAGTGTTCCAGGTGGCAAAGACCTCCTCATCTGGCAGCAGGCTCTGCCGTTGGTGGATACGTCTCCGCAACAGGCGGTTGGATTCGTGCACACGTGACGGCCAACACCGATGTTGGCGGTTGTTGTGGTCGTCGCAGTACCGGCGGTGCCGACGGTGCCGGCAGCACCTGTAGCTGCACCAAATTCGACTGCGGAAGCACGCACTTTGGGTCTCAACAATGGCGACGTGGCGAACGTCTCGCGCTGATTAGACGTTGTGCTGCTGGAGCTGCTGGACCCAGGACTGCCGCCCAGTCGACTGGACGTCGCGTATGCAAATCCACGGAACCGGAAATGCGTCTGATACGGATAACCGGTGGGTGGCGGTAGCCGATAATGGTGATGAAAGCCAAGGTCGCGACGCATGTATGGATCCCCTGGATCGCTCGCGGGTACATATCGATCGGTTGGTGTGTGCGCTGCAGGCGGCACGTATCTATCTACATATCTGAACAATCATAGAAACCAGGCTTTTAGGTTCCACTCATGTGGAAATGGACACAGAAGTTTAGGACAAGACGTGAAAAATTTTTAACCGTTTTTGGAAAATAAAATAATATAAATCGCATAAGATTATATTAAAATACATTAAAATAATTGATTGAATAATTTTGAATATCCGTATCTCAAAATTATTATTATATATAACTTAATTTATAATTTATTTATAATATATATGTAATTTCTCAAAAATTAGGTTGCATAACATGTTTTATAATGCAGTTAGAGAAAACCAAATAAATAACTACAGTTTTATTGAGAAAAGAGTGGCTGAAAATTTCTAAAATTAATTTTATTTTTCTTATTATTAGAATTGTTATAGTAAGATCATTAATAAAATTCTTTTAAGAAAGAAAAAACAAAATTTCTAATTTCTAATTCTAAGATATCTTCAAGGTTATATATATATATATATATTTTTTTTATTATGTTGCCTATCCGACTCTTACCTATCCGGATAGAGCACTTCGGGAGGCGGTTGGGGCACGTATCGTTCAACTGGGGTGTGCGCAGTTGGGGGTACATAGCTCACGTTAGATGAGCAGTAAGTGCGATCGGTGGAGGACGTCGCGACGGAGGTGGTACAAGATATGGGTGTTATGCGGCCGGTGAACCTGTCCTTAGGCTTCGGCAGGGACAGGTACTTGTCCGTGACGCTGCGTGCTGGCGAATAGCGATCAGCAGGAGTGTGAAAACGGTCAGTTCCGGGAGAAGTCTGAAATCGGTCGCCACTACTGCCTGTAGTAAAGTATCGGTCTTGGCCGAACTGGTGATCATTCTGACTGCCGACCGAGTAGCGATCATAGTTGCTCTGAACCGACTTCGAGACCAAATATTTGTCAACGGTACTCTTCGTATTCTGATAACCGCCATTGCCGCTGCGGTGGACGTTCGACGCTTCCGACGTTGGCGAGATTGACGCAAAGCGCTCATTGGAGGCCGAAGATTGAGTGCCGGTGGTCGTTGTATAGGGCGAATGATACCTGGAGCCTAAGTTTCGAATGAAAAATTATACTGATAACATTTAAAATTGAGAATGAAAGTTTATTGAAACATACGAATTTCAAGCAAAACATAGAAATTGTACAGATATATATAAAATCTTTTTAATTTTTTAAACTCATCTGTTTATTATTTTTGAAAAGACTTCAACAGTGTACTGTGATATTACTATGGTATCAAGTTTTTACGGAATGTACTATGGTATTTCTGTGGTACTAAGTTTTTGCGGAATAAATGTTTCAAAATTTGAAGATATAACTAGAGCTCTTGGATATTTAAGTGATCAAAAAAAAATATCAATAATTCACAAAACTAAATCTAAATATTAGTGGAACAAAAAATAAATTAAGATGCGCAAAGCACATTTTCTATTTTTAGCTCAACTGAAGCAAAACGCACACTTATCAGTCTCTGACGAGGAGGACGACGAAGAAGATGTCGGTGCCAACAGACGTTCAGTAGAGGAGACGATGTAGCGCGGCGTCTCGACATTGGATAGCCTGCCGTCGTGTGCGGGTGATGATCCAGCCAGGTATCGATCACTGGAGAACCTATCAATCGATCGCGATTGACTGCAACGCTGTAGAGCGAGGTCGTTAAAACGATCGTTGCTGGACACGTATCGCGTCTGACTGCCGACTTCCGAGAAACCTGAGTATCGACCGAAGTCAGCGGACGCTGGAGAGCCGATAGACCGATCAGTATACTTCTGGCAAACCGTCTCGACTCCTCTGTCGGTGTAGAGGCGTCGATTTTGCTCGGTATTACCCGAGGAAGTCTGAAGTGATGAGCGGTCTGACGATGAATAGCGCTGATGCGCGCTCTCAGGATTAGGCGAATTCGAGAGGAACCTGCAGATATTCCAAATGGAAGAGACATGAAGTACATTTCGGAACTGAGCACGATTTATAATTCATTGTGAATTATGTAGCAAATGTAACAATTGTTCGATATTAAATATGTGTACATAATATGAATCCAATATCTAAATATACAATTGATTACTACAGTAATTCACAAATCCGCAAAATTATTAATAATAATTGCTCAGAATCAACTTAAGCTGACTTGAACTCACCTCTCAGTGGCCGTCGCCATCGCCGAATACCGCTCATGATGTGCTGGTGGGTCTTGTCGTGGATACCTATCGTGAATGGGTGACTCACCCAAATACCTTTCCGACTTGTCAACGAATCTTTCAGGCACCGGAGCGTGTATTGGCGAAGAGGATAATATCCTATCAGCGGAAATGGCGGCGTAGCGAGTATCTTTAGCGTAGACCGCGCTGCCCTGGAGTCCAGCCTGAAGTCCTCCCAGGATCGGAGAGGATCCCGAGAGCAGGCGATCAGGTGGTCCAGCGTAGCGTTGTTGATCCTTAGCGTCGCCTGTATCTGACTGCTGATTGGCCAGCAGCCGTTCGGCGGAAGCAAAGCGCTCCTTGGCGGGCATCGACGATGCTGTAGCGGCATTGTCGGCACCATACTTGGGCCCCGGAGAATTGGGGGGCAAAATGCGATCAGCAGAAGGGTAACCAGCCAAGCTCTGGCTCGAGGCGTACTTCTCGCTCGGACTGGGTGACAATGGCGGTGGTGGGACGAAGCGGTCGTTCGCCGGTGCTGGCGACGGCGGCGATGGGAACGTCTCCGAAACGAAAGAGCTCGTGAGCACATTCGTGTTCGCATACTCGCTGGACCCGGTCGTGCTTGTCGTGTCAAAGCGCAACTCCGGGTTGCAGACCGAGTAACGATCGTTCGAGGCCCGTTGTTCGCCGTGCAACGTGCTGACGTCGTTGAATCGCGTGAAACGATCAGCACTTGCGTGTGCACCGCCATAGTGTCCCTGCAACGAGGACTGACCAAATGTCGAAGTCTGATAATGCCCGAAACGTTCGCAACTCGACTGTCGACCATCGGCGGTGCACTTGGTAAAATCGACCGACAATTTATCAGATGATTTCTCGTGCCTCTCGCCCCCCATTCGACTCCCCACGTGTTCGCCACTTTGAGCCTGATAATGTCCGAAACGTTCACAACTCGGCTGACGATCCTCTCCACACTTTGAGTAATCGATACAAGACTTATCCACGGTCTTCTCGTGCCGCTCAACCCCCATCCATCCTCCCACATGCTCGCCGCTTTGGGTCTGATAATGCCCAAAGCGTTCACAACTCGACGGACGACTCTCTCCGCACTTGGAGAAATCAATTGTAGGCTTCTCCACGGATTTCTCGTGTCGATCAACCATTCGGGCCCCGACATGCTCGTTGCTTTGGGTCTGTTGGTCCGACTGGTGACGTTCTTGACCCGATTGGCTTGCTGTACTCGTGACCGAACGCAAGTCGGACGATTGTTGCTGTATTTGCTGCTTAAAGCAATCACCGAGATTGTTGGAACCAATCTGAGTCCCCACGCCGCTGGAACTCGGTGTGCTCGATCCGGGAAGCGGGGATGATGAGGATCCGTATTGTGCGATCGGGTGCTGGTGCAACAGGAGACGATCTCTTCGGCCATAGTCGTCGTCTGTCGGCATCCTGGTGGCCCGGGGCCCACTGTCAGGACATCTGCAATAAAAGCCGTGATTATAAAATGATGCTAATAAATATAAACATAATGTAAATATGGATTATAGTAATGTAAATATAAATGTAACATATGGGTTCTCCTTCACTCGTAATGTTCAATTCTCCAATCAAACTCTTGTAAAACATTCATATAAGAACGTATCTGTATTACAGCTGGCATGTTGCTCACAAATCCTAGCATATGTTGCTATCAGAATTATAGCAACTGAGACCATATTTGTTGATAAATTTATGTTTTCACGATATGATAACTTTAGGTATGATAATTTGTCAGAAACTTATGTTGTAAAACGAAATCGTCATCTATCGAGTACGAACAATATAGCAAGTTGATAGTATTTTATGTTTCTTTTTATTAAGGTTTACAGCGCAGCAAATAAAACGTGCGCAGCAAATAAACGTGCTATGTATATCGTACTATCAAAACTTTTTTCGTTTTTGTCTCGGAGTCCAATTTTGAGAACTCACTTTCCAAGTATCATTTTATCATTACATTAGAACATATTAAAGAAACTGATAAATTATGCAGAAAAGGACTTTTTCCAAATTTCGACATTTTTTTCGATTATAATAGTAATAATAATCTTTGTCATGACTCAAATAGTGATAATAAGTCGGAGGTCAAAAAATATTTAGTCTACCTACTTTTTTTAATTATTTATTCTACCTTATCTTTATCGTATAGGGGCACACGACTTTTCACGCGAAGCAACTCCCACCCCACCTCCCCCCCCCCCCACTCATGATCGGCTTCGGTCTTTTCTACAATATACGCTGTAAGCAATTTTTTCCTATATATTTACTAGAAAAGTATGTGATTAGTTCAAATTCGAATCGAACCCACTATAATTCGATTCGATTCAATTCGAATGCATATTAATAATTTCGAATAAGTTCGAAATTTTAAATCATCGGTTTATTTAAATAATCTGAAACTTGTTGAAAATACTTTATTACTTGTAAATCAGGTTTTTTTTGTGAATCCAGGAAAATTTGATTCGTTTTCGGGTAATTATTTACAATAGAACTGCATGCAACAATAAGACATAATTGCAAGAATGAGGAACATGTGGAAGGAGTTAAATGAACGTGTGATAGCGTTTGAAACTCTAAACGCAAGAATATACAGAATACAAATAAAAAAGAAGATCTTCAACTACTCATTCAACGGACACGCACTAACCGAGGAGAAATCTGAATATTAGGAAACTTTCTATGGTGAATTGGAAAGAGTGTATTAGTGATGCTGGTACACTCTCGACACGAAACAACCACAGGCAATATGACATCAAAACAACCATAGGTAATATGGACACCAAAGTAGGGAGGGAGCAGACTTTCCGTCCAATAATAGGAGCATACAGTCTACACCAGAATTTAAATGATAGCGGGAAGCGACTGATCAATTTTGCGGCGTCAATAAACATGACAATAGTAAAGTTGCCTCCAGATTTTGCCAATATAAACCAACTTTGCACGCATTCACTAAATTGGTCTACATTCATGGATAATTGTGCATGTTATGTGCCTGTATGTGTGTAATATTTGACAATCTGGCATACATTGGCAATATACATATAGGATCAAAAACTAGATTTCTGGATAATGTCAAAAACAACAAGAATGATTGGAATTAGAGAATGGAGACGAAAAACCTTGGATAGAGAGAGAGAGGGGGGGACGTATGGAAATAAATTCTTGAGGAGGCTGAGGCTTATTCAGGGCTGTAACGCCAAAATAATAATAATAACTAACAATAAATCTTAGCAACAAGGAAAAAAGATAATGGATTAAAATATTTTTTAGAAGATTATTTAGGTTCGATTGCACCAATGTTACTTTGATTTTAAGCGAGGTTTAAAACTCCTTTTGTCTCTGTCTTTTTTTGGCTTTAAAACAAGACAGATAGTTTTAAGTCTCACTTAAGTCAAAGCAACCGGGCCTTAAGTTAATAGAAACTATATATATATAATGCTCTGCTTTCTATCATTTCGCATCGTCGAACATCACTTCCGGTCCAGGCAAGCTGCCTATTCTTTCTACGGAACGTCAAAGAAAATCGGAGAGAGCCTTTCTCGTTTGGCAGAACTGAATTTGACAAATGGTTTTATTCGGCAGTTGACGAGTGTACGTGCGCGTGACACGTGTCACGCGTGGCCGCGTTCCTCGATGGCGGCTGCCGAGAATATAGCATTCCGACGGAATTTCGGAAGTCACGTCGAAGGACGTCGTCACTCGTCCGCGAAACGACCCCGGGCCTTCCCGAGTCGAAATGACGCCGTTTGAAATATTTATGATGGAAAATTTTCCAGATTGGGATTGCATGGAGATGGTTTTGCACCGTGATAAAAATAAATTCCAGTACCATTTTAAGTTTTAAGAATTAAATTATATTACGAGAAATTGAGATATTTTTTATTTAAAAAATTTATTTTTTTTTAATAGAAAAACTCAGCATTAATGTACAAGATTTTTTATAATAATTATTAATGTCTACTTAAGATAAATTAATGTTTATTTTAAAGAAGAAATTAATAAAATAATTAAAAAATTATTTTTTTTCTTTCCCTTATATAAAAGTACACAAAATATAAATTTTTAACAAACTCTTTAATTATCAAATCGATAATGATTACATTAATAAAATGGATATATAAATACATAAATGAAAATTAATAAAAAATATAAGTATTACTTTTCAAGAACTTGAAACTCTGATGAAAAACAGTGTTGTAAATGTTGGAAAACAGTGTTGAATGCGATATGAACCTCGATGATTTTAGGTCAGATCGTTTATCGAACTCGCATTGCGACTTCTTTAATAGCGACTCGATTTGCCGAGGAGATGGCGATTAATTCGTCCGACGACGAGTCGAGAGTTTCATCTTTTACGAGCATCTTTCGACGGTTGGCACGAGCGCCTGCCTGGCACCGATCCAAATTGAATCCATTTAAATACCTGGTCGTTGCCGCCACCCAACCGCCCCTACCGGCATAGCCCCGTAATTTCCGATTTTAGGAAAACTGCTGCAACCTCTGCACAAGGAACTGTTAATGCACTACGCGTGCGTTCAATCTAAAATTCAATAATATAAAAATCTGCTTACTTTTAATCATTCATGATTCAAGAAATACATTTTAACGGAATCTAAATTTATTTTTATAAAAATCAGTAAGATCTTGTTAGAAAGAGAACATTAGTAATATCATCACAAATTTTATTTTGAAAAACTATTTTTATCTATTGCACGTGTTCTTTCATATTTTGATATTAAACCAATTATTCTTTATTAACTCTTTTTGAGTTTTTTAATGATCAAATGAATATATTTTGTTGCTTAATCATTTTCATCAGATTTATTTTGCATTATTTCATTCATTTTATTTCAATAAAGTTTTCATTTTCACATTTCAATGAGATTAACAGAAATTATTAGCAGCAAATAAAATTTTAACCAGCAGTGTTATTGTACATACATAAAAAGGATATCATTTTTCTAAATAATTAATTACTATTCTGGATTATTAAATTTAATTTAATTTGCTCCCCCGTCATTAATTCTCATTGGATTGTAAAAAAGAAATTTTTTTCGTTGTAAATATTTACAAAAAATTTTGACTTGTAATTCTGGAATTTTACACTTTTGCTGTGCGACACTTTCAAGCTAAGAAATTTATTAATCTTGTAACTATCAACAGTAATGGACTTTCGCGAAACTATAATAATAGCAAAAAGCGTTTGTTGCTCGCAAGAAAGTATTTAAGTACTTCACTCTTTAACGGACTGGATCGGAATTTCAATTGGTCGCTAATGGATTCTCGATTCCATTCGTCTGCTACTGCCGGGTCATGCGAGTCTAAAAGTACCCGAATTAGTATGCCGCTGGTAGATTTCAAGTTGGATTAGCCTGAGATCATGCGAGGCAATTATTATTCCATCGCCACAATATCGTTTCGCTTCTTAAAATTGACAAGCTATTTTAAAAGTTAACTGAATTGCCACTCAAAAATGTTTGTGAATTATTAAGAGCTACTGTTAAAATTATTATAATATTAAAAATTCAGATTTAATTAAAAATCATAAAGCCAAATTTAATTTTAGTAATATTAAATTCAAATAACATTAAAACTATCTGAAGAATCAATCTTATTTATAATTCAAACACGTACGTAATAATTAAAATTATTAAAATGTCAAAATTGTGTATAAAATCCTCTTAAAAGTCAATTAAATCTATCAGTTAATATACAATACTTGAGTACACTTCAAAATAACGCAGTGCGGATCACTGAATAAAATCATATCCAAAATTTGATTTTCAGTTGTAAGAAATAACTTATACTGATGCTATTGTCATACAAAACAATTTGAAAATCATTTACAATGATTATATAATATGACTAGCTCATCTACAAATGTGAGAATACGTGGCTTACAAGATATCTGTTATATTTAACATTTATTGGGGTAAATATTTACCTTTACACAGTTAGCCCCAAATAACTTTCAAATGGTATTAATCTCGATTTTCAAGGAGATCAAGATCAATAATTTTTTCCGTCGCTCGTTGTTCATTAAAAAATTAATAACGAAACAATTTTAATAAATAGTATTTAGACAGGAAGAGGGTGTAAGAGGTATGGATCTCGCTTCGCGTGGAAAGTCGGACACCCCTCGGTAAGGGGGAGGTGGGGTGCAATGGCCATCACTTTGCGTGAAGTCGGACACCCCAAAGTAGGGAAGAAGATGGACCTCGTTTTGCGTGGAAAGTCGGATTCCTCTGGGCAAGGGGGGAGGTGAGATAGACCTCGCTTCGCGTGGAAATTCGACCGCCCCTAGCTTGGGTATAGGATGAACCTCTCCTCTTCACGTGAAATATCTGCTTCATCCCATTTTAGCATGAAAGAAAAGCATTATGTAAATTATATCAAAGTATATGTAGAATATATAGTAAAACATATACCTTATGTTTAAAAAT